ATGGATATGAAAGGAGAAAAAATTAAATAATTAAAATAAAACAAGAGAGAAGCCCAGAATAGACTGGTAATGACAGTTTGCTTAAAATTGAGGAATATGTTTAATTCAGCTTTCTGCACTTGAGTTCAATTTGTATATAAATGTATATGTATTATATATATAAATGTCCAAAAGGGTATATACTAAGATATTAATAGTAGCTATCTCTAGGAGTGGTATGAAAGGTGAATCTTTTTTCTTCACTGAATAAATATCGTATAATAAGGAAAAGGCATTTTTTTTTTTTATGTTCCAAAAACTCATCTTAATACTCAGAAGTACTTTCCTGCTATTGGATAAATGCACAATAATCTACTAAATTCAGCCACCTGTGTGATCACAGTCATTTTTATTGTTTTTCCAGAATGTTCCAAAATAGCTCTGGAATAAGACCAGTGGGACCACCAGATAGCTATCTATCTAGCCTCACCCTTCGTCCCATGCAAATGGAGATCAAGCCTCCAATCCAGCTTTGGCAGAAATCTCCGTAGGACCCAGGATAACAAGGCCTTCTTGGCTGAGGAAAGGAGGGGCAGCCTTCAACTTACAGCAGTCAGCTTACAACAGCCTCTGAAAAGCTGCCTTGGGCAACAATTGCCAAAGACAAAAGGTTCCACCTCAAGAGTGGAAACTCTATTTGTAGCTTTGTAGACACAGGTGTTCTTACAGGCGACTAAAGACCTACAGAGTGGGACTGTGTTTGGCCAGGAATAGCTCAGAAGGCCTTCCCCTCAGAAGCCAGCTCTTGAGGCCTTCAGGGTATGTTCTAACTATATTTGGCAATGAAAACCAAAGAGGTCAGTGGCTTAGCTCAGGGGGGGGAAAGCTATTCCTGATTTATATCCCCTGCTTCAAACTAGGACCAAGAATTTTAAAACTCACTTCATTTATTTATTTTGCACTCACTGAGCATACCACTAAAGACGTTTTCCCTTCCAGTCCTACCAGCCTCATGTAAACCTTCCAGAACCACAGGTGTAAATCACCTACCCAAGCCATCTTCATATTAGAGGACATTTGGGGACACCTGGCCCAAAAATCCAAATGTTAAAATTATCCCACTTACTCTCCATGTATTTGTAGCATTAAAATAGACTATAGCACTTGGGTGCAAATTCAGATTCTAGCGCTTACTACTCACTGTGTGACCGTGGCTAAATTCCTTTGTGTCTCTGAGGTTTAATTCTCTTATCTACAAGTAGAGATAATAACACCTATTTTAGAAAGCTGCTCTAAGAATTAAATGAGATAGGGGTGCCTGGGTAGCTCAGTCGGTTAAGCATCCAACTTTGGCTCAGGTCACAATCTCATGGTTTGTGAGTTTGAGCACTGCATCGGACTGTCTGCAGTCAGCAAAGAGCCCACTTTGGATCCTCTGTACCCCTCTTTCTCTGTCCCTTCACTGCTCGTGCTCTCTCTCTCTCTCTAAAATAAATAAACCTTTAAAAAAATATTTTAAAAAAAAGACTTAAATGAGATCAGGTGTACAAAGTGGCTAGGAGAATATATGATACAAAGCGGGTGCTAAGAAAAGAATCCGTTTCTATCCTCCCCCATAACTCCCTTCTACTCCTGTTCAGCCAAGGTGTTTGGCTTCTCAAGAAATTGCCCAGTATCCTTCGTCTGATTACAAGTGGATGGTACCATTCCCACAGCCAGCAACAGTAGCTAAAGATAAAAGTTGTGACTACTCAGCTGAGGACATGTCGAATCAGCTCACAAATGACTCATCACTGTTGATAAATGATGTGTTCTTGGCATTAGGAGGCCTTATCCTGACAAGCTTCAACACCTTATGAAAAAAATCCAGAAGGTAGATTGAATGGCTCACAGAGAAGGTCCCAGGGTTTGATGGTGACCTTCAGTCAATTCTGAACTTGTACCACACTGGTCATAGGAGGGGCTTCTGTCTGTTCAGACACATCTCCAGTCACAAAGTTTTCAGTAGGGAAGGACTCCAGCCGAGCAGCTGCCTCGTTCGTCTCTGAGCTGAACCATCTCCTTCATTGCCTTGGATTCCCTGAAGGGAGTCATAAGACTCCTTGGGCTAAAGGCTAGATGCTCATTCCCTGCTCAGAACAGCCCTAAGCTAGTGTCCAACCTGCCTTTGGCAGCTTTGTCTCCTGCCTGAAGTCCTGCCAGGGTGAGGTTTGGCTGGAGGGTTCTGTGGCTATAGGACAAACCTTGGTTCAAGGAAAAGGGTATTTAATCCTGAGCCACTGTCTGCGAGGCCAAAGTGTTTGCTACTCTCTGCAGCTTCTATAGCCCCTTCAGACCACCCAGAACCACTCACTGACACAGAAATTCCATGGCTGGAATTTTTAGTCACTCCTTCATTCATACATGCCCTGTACCTTTTACAATGACTGGCACAGAGTTCTCTCTGAATTTTTATTAAAAGACCCTTGATGACAAGGATGGTCAGTTGCTGCATTTGTAACCTTCTCAATTTTGATGAACCTCACAAAATTAAGATCAAATATGACAATGAACTGTATGAATACTGACACTATTAATATGGACCCCAGACCTAGGACTGATCTCTTTTGCTACTGTATATACAGGTTTTTTTCTGAAAGTAACTATCCCTGGCCCCCAGGGTAGCAGGTGTGGGTGATGGGCTAAATGGGTGATGGGCATTAAGGCAGGCACTTGCTGTGATGAGCACTGGGTGTTATATGTAAGTGATGAAACACTAAATTCTACTCCTGAAACCAATATTACACTGTATGTTAACTAACTGGAATTTAAATAAAAAATTGAAACAACAAACCAAAAAAGAAAAAAAAAAAAAAAACAGGAAGAAGAAGGCAAAAAAAAGAAAGAAAGAAAGAAAGAAAGAAAGAAAGAAAGAAAAAAAAAGAAAGAAAAGGGTGCAAAAGGTCCAGGAAAAGGCAGGCTGCTGGAAACATTTCCATTCTCCAAACTCAGATTTTTCTCCACCAGGAAGGTTTCTGAGATCACCTACAAACACCAACACTTCAGCCATGCTTTGAAGTGGAAAGGCTAGGGACACTTGCTGAAAAGGACAAGCAGTTGATCTCCATCCTGGGTTCCCAGGACGTCGGGTGAGACAAATGGGGCAGGGAAATCAAAATCAGGGGTGCTTCCTCTTATCCTCCCCTTCTGTCCTGTTCCCAGGTCCTCTGACCTTCTAGTCACTCACTGAGGCTTAGTGTCCACCTTCTATCACCGGAACGCGGGTCAACCTTCTAAGATGATAAAGCTAGGCGGAGGAAGGAAGGAGGGAGCAAAAGGCAGCCTGGAGAGAAGTGGAGAAAAAAAATGAAAAAACTTGGGGAGGAGGAAGGAAGAGGAGAGCGGCAAGCGAAGGCGGAACAATGAAGGTCTCAGGCCGTCAGAGGCGCACGATTCCGGCGGCACGTCCGTCCCGCCCGCCTCCGGCCAGCAGCTGCACGCTGCGCAGCGTGTGGGCGCTGAGTCACGGTCCCAGAACAGGGAGCCGCCGTGCAGGTCTGGGGGGGGCCGGCCCTGGTTGGCATCTGCAAACTGTTTTTTTCTTTCCTCTCTCATTAGGGCTGTGTGCTGACTCCCACGTAGGAGGACTTATTAAACCGCACGTACCGCCTGACGGCCCTCGGGTCGTTCCCCGGCTGCCGGCTGGGGGCGCCACAGCCTCGCTGATGAGCCCGCCGGCTGGCTGGGGCACCAGGCCGGCAGAAGATTGGGGTTACTGGCGTGGCTGCCGGATTCCCGGAGCAGTGCGAACATTTTGCTGGAGTAGCTTCTAACTTTTACACCGCGGCAGCCCGGGACAACTCCTCACTTAGAAGACCTCGGAGACCACCCTAACTCTCCGAGGTGCGTTTTCTTTTTCGCACGGGGTTCCGCGAGAAACTCCATAAAATCTGGGACTCTGTTGCGCAACGCAGAGAGTCGAGTCTCCCCTCTGCGCTAGGGCTCACCCTACCCAACCCGGCCCGGCCGCCACGCGAGGATGCGACTTGAGCAGCCTTCGCGAAGCCCGGACCCGCTCGCAGGACAGGCGCTCTGCGCGCAGCACAAGGAGAGCAGCGCACGGGACAGCTCCGCCCGCGCGCGGACACGGCCGGCTCGCGCTGGAGCAGCCGTGCCACCTTCCCACTCTAGGCGGCTCCCGGACGCGCCAGGACCAAGGGAAACGTCTCTCCCAAGACCCGTGAGCTGAGAATTAATCAGCATCGAGATAGTTTATTGATTTGCTATTTCGCATATCACCCATTTTATGTAATAGATATACAGAGACACGGTGCTTCCTTCTTCCACAAGAGGTAATCAGTCTTGCACGCACACGCTCTCACACATTCCACGCAGCAATGTTCCATCTCGCTCAGACATTCACGTATTAAAATAAGTGGGGAGGGGGGGCAATGCAATTGCTTTAAAATGCCCTTAATACAATATATAACGTACAAAAATATCTCTATATTTGAAGTTACAAAAAAAATCTTGACAGCAACGAACTTAAATATTGATAGTTACCTCTATATATACAACACGCATTGCACTTTTCCTCGCTAGGTTTTGGAAAGTTCAAGTAATAGTGGGGCTTGCGCCCCGGTGGGGTGACAGTCCCCCGTGAGAAATCAGTTTGTGGGTAGGCACGGCAGGGACTCAGACCCCTGCCCCTGGGTGGGGCGGGGGTGGGGGGGGGGGAGTCTCAAGCATCTGTATCTCAATTTTTCTCCTCTCCGTGAGTCTGGCAGACACTCCCTCACATTCTTCTGCCCCCACGGGGCACCTGGGCCCGATTGGGAGGAAGGGAACGGTGCCTCCGAGGAGAAGGGGCTCCTGCAGAGCCAGGGCTCGCCGCTGGACGGTGCCTACCGGACTCCCGGTTTCTGCAGGGCTGTCTCAGCCCGGTCTCCGTCGGCTGAGGAGCTCGGCTCTGGGAAACCCTCAGCCCCCAGGGGAAGCCAGCGGGATGCATACGCGCGCCTGTTCGCTGCTGCCACAGGCGCCTAAATCTTAAGGAGGGTGTCGAGCACCTGATGCACCCGGGAGGAGGCCGGAACCGCGCGTGCCTGTGGCTCCAGGGACAGAGTCCAGTTGGGGCCAGTCTCGGGCAGGGAGCGCCGGCGCCGGCGGCCGTAGCCCTGGGGGCTAATCTTGCTCCTGGGGGCGACGCCGTCCTTGTCCTTGTCCGTGAACTGGTAGATTTGGTGCGCCAGTTTCTGCACCGTGCACGTTCCGAAGCGGCAGCCGAAGCTCCGCAGGCCCTGGAAGTTGTTCATGCTCTGGCGGTAGCGCTTGACTCGGACGCGGGCGGCGTCCGGACTGCTGGGGAAGGGAAGGAAGGTAACATGAGACCCCCATCAAGCAGGGCTTTGGCCTCAGCCACCAGGAATCCGAGCCATTCAAGGACCAGAGGGAACTGGAAACTGCTACCGCGCTCTGAACTGCCAGACAGCCCTGAAGATCCCCAGGGCCAGGGTAGTGGAGGAGAGTTCCCCCTTGCCCACCCCGCTTCGGCGCAGGGCATAGTTACCTGGCCTGGGGGTTGTGAGTGGCGACCTTCACGTCCTGGGGCCGAATGAGAGTCTGGGTTGGCCCGGCCTTCACGTAAGTGAGCCCTGTGGGGTAGCTGCTGGACACCCGAAGTTCCCTCTTGCCACGACTTAGAGCCCACTTATTCCATCTAGAAAACACAAATAGACTCGATTCGCGTGCGTCCAGGCGAGGTCCCGGTCCAGACGGGCTCCCGTTCACTTCTAACCCCTCGGGACCGACAGCCAGTTTCCCTTGTCTCCCAGGTACAAGGACTGAGGAAGGAGCTGCT